GTTTACCACCCACAAGAACTGCTGGAAAGCGAAGTGCCACCAGTGTGCTTTCACCCCCATGTGCCCCAACATCACATGCATGCCCTCGGTTACCGTACGGTTGTGGCGTTCAGCCACACCGTTCTGCTGGGGGGTCGAGGGGCAGGAAAGTTGACGCAAGATCCCTTGATGCTTCAGCAGCAGCAGGAACTCGTTCGACATAAACTCTCCTCCCCGGTCCGACCGCAGCACGTTCAGCGTCATCCCGGTCTGGTGTTCAGCTTCGGGGAGCCACTCCTTGAAGGGAGCAAGCGCGTAGCTCTTCAGCTTCAACGTCTTCCCCCAGGTGTAACGTGAGGCGTGGTCGACAAAATGAATGTAGTACATGCTTCCATCCATGGCTGGGGTCTGAAATGGACCGCACACGTTAGTATGGACCAGCCCAAGAACTTGCTCCTCTCGCTCGTTGTGCAGCGGAAATGATTCGCGAGTGAGTTTGGCTTCATGGCAGGAGGTGCTCGGCATATCCTCACCTCCTTTCTCCAGGTCCATACCGAACACGCCACCGCTCATGGCTGTCCGCTTCACCGCATCAAAGTGGACGTGTCCAAGGCGAGCGTGCCACAGGTTGGGCGTTGCCTTGGAGCCCACCACGTAAGTCTTGAGGCTGGCCGCTCCATCATTAGCTTCCGGCTTGCCTGACGCCACATCAGCAATCTCCTTCACCGTGCCGTTGCTTGCCGTTGCAGCCGCCGTGCCGTTGCATGCCACTGCAGCCCCTGTGCCGTTGCTCGCCGCTCCACCCGCCATATCGGTGCATGCCGCTGCAGCCGCCGTCCAGTTGCATGCCGCTGCAGCCGTTGCACCGTTCCTTGCTGGCCCCGGTTTCAGGTCAAGGCAGTGAAGGCGATGGCGGTATCGTGCCGTTGCAGCCACTTGACCTCCTGATGCGATGATGCGAGTGACACCTTCCTCGGTTTGCAGCTTTGCTCCCTTGTCCAAGAGCTGCCCAGGGGAGACCAGGTTGGCCTTCATTCCTGGCACAAAGAGGACATCATGTAGGGTCACACGCAAGCCGTTCGTGTCCTCCAGCAAAACCTCACCAACACCGGCAACTTCCTGCATAGAACCATCAAACCCTTTGACTGATTTCGTTGCAGATGGGTCACGGATCACCGTGAACCACTCCTTGCGGCCGATCATGTGTTGGGAGCATCCCGAGTCAAGGAACCACAGGTCCTTGTCATCGGCCAGTAGCTTTGCAGCCGAACACGCGACGGTGAGCGCCATGCCCTTCCCGTCTCCTTCTTGTTGGGGCACTTGGCAGCCATGTGCCCCTCCTCATTGCAGTTGTAGCAGCGCCCCTTGAAGGAGCCTCGCTTCTTTTCCCGCTTGCCATCCTTCTTCTTGTCCGTCTGCTCCTTCCCCCCTTTTCCTTCCTTCCCGTTGTTGACCCCCATTGTAGCCACGACCGTGTTGACAGCTCCCGAGAAAGCAGATGCATCGCTGGTGATCTGCTTGTAACTATGTTTGATGGAGAGAGTCTGCTCTTCCATCAACACCTCGCTGCACACACGTTCCACCGTCATGTCGGGGCTGGAGATGTCTAGCTTGCGGCGAAGGAACCCGTACTCTGGTGGCAGACCCTTCAGCACGTGAGCGGCAAACGTGGCCATGTGGACCTCCTGTCCAATGGTCAGCAGCTCCGCTCGGATGGTGCGGGCCCTATTGCAGTAGGATTCCGCCGTCTCATCATCTCCCTTCCTGAGTTGGGCTAGCTGGGTCTGAAGTAGGGAAGTGTGGAGGGCATCACGAACTTTATAAGTAGACAAGATATATGCCCATGCTAGCTGCCCAGCTTTCTCTTGCTGAGAGAAACCAGAGATGGACATTCGGATGGGCGGAGAAACACATCGGTTCATCACCATGAATGCAAGCATTTGGCCCTTTGCGTACTCCCTTCGTTGCAAGGGGTTGTTTGGGGCCGAGCTTGGTGCTGTCCCGTTGCAAAACTCCCACGAATCAGCACACTGGAGCTGATGTCGGATGGCGCTGACCCACGCGGTAAGGTCGTGCCTTCCCTCCAGCAGCGGCGTTACGGAGATGTGCTCCAAACTTGAATTGGCCGTAGCTCGCCCCGATCATTCCCGTGTCAATGGTCGGTGCAACGGCTCCTCCATCAATGCCCACGGCACCAGGAGCCTTGTGCTCAGCTCCTCCTTCACCGATTCCTCCTTGCTGGCCGCTCGCGGGTGCTTGCTCCGCCGCACGCTCCCGAACCATGCGTATTAGACGACCGTCCATAATGAGGTCGACCTCCTCATCACGCAAGTTAGGGTGGTGCTCACGAATGGACGCCTCCAGCTTCTGACGGGCATTCATGCCCTCGGCGCTCGTTAACCACTCCATGCACAGTCAAAACGAGCGTCAGCCACACCAACGTGGGAACGAAGTGATGGGAGGACAAAATCAAGCCGTTAGTTGGATCGACGCAGAAAACGCAGCTCTGATACCATGTAGAATTCCACTACTATAGCAGCTTGATAGAGCTTGAAAGCACGATTCCAACGCACCAAAGATTGCAGGAAACGGTCCACTATAGCCGGAGATACGCACAAACATAGCAGTGATAATGACTTAGTTGATTTCTGGTTTGTGCTCTCTGGTTTTATACTAGGACGCAATACAAAATAAAAGCACACAAGAAAGTGTCAACCCGGGTCGCACGTTGAATTTCGTCCACGCGAAATTTGGGGCCTTGAATTTCGCCGAGCGAATTTCATTGACTGGAATTCCGTAGACGAGAATTTCCGCGACAGGAATTCCGTCGACCACCGACTGTAACTCCCGTACGAATTCCGTTGACTTCGACACTTCGCTGCCGAGTTTCAAACCGATCGCGACTCGAGATCGATTTCGCCAAACTGTCCCCAATTTGTCCCCAAACTGTCCCCAATCTGTCCTGACAAGACACTTTCGGGACACTTGAATCAAAAGGTCTCCAGTTCGAAACTTATGTGCACCATAACCAGCGACTTAGCAGAAACTGTCCTGAATCTGTCCTGAGACACTTTCAGGACAGATTTGAAGGTCACAAGTTCGAATCCCAGCGCAGACATTTTGTTGCTCATGGCAGCATTTCCTTCTAACAAGTGCGCGCGCTCAGCAGACGGCAGCTGACTGCGAACAGCAAGGTGGGCAACAGCGTCATGAGTAGCCCACTGCGAACGAACTGTACTGTCAGCATCGGCAGCAGGTGCAACAGAGACGCCGGATGTGTGATCAAACAGTGAGACTCCGTCCCTAGAATCACACTGCAGATAGAGCTGCAGATCATCGACCCACACGTCAAAATCGACCGAACGACCCTCAGCATCAAAGGTAAGAACATGAGGGCTAGCCATGGCGACAGCAGTGGCATTAGCAAGAGAAGCAGTAGAAGCAGGAGCAGAAGCAGTAGCAGCAAAAGCAGCGCGGCTCAGTAGGACAGGGCGGCGCGTATCGGCAGAGCGGCGCGGCTCGGCAGAGCGCGGCTCGGCTGGGCAGCGCGGCTCGGCTGCGTGCTTGTCGGGCAGGTGCGCGGGCAGCGCGGGTAGGGGAGGTGCTCACCAGGGGCGGGTAGGGCAGGTGCCACTGGTGGTGGGTAGGGCAGGCGCTCGACAGGCGCGGGTAGTTTTTTTGTTCTTTTTTTTTTATATCATATACATTACAAGAATGTACAGACACCGACAGTCGTAACTGTTTCAGAGAGGGGAGCGCTACAATAGCTTGTACCACAGATCCCCTCTAAGGCAGCTATGGTGGTTGATGTGTCATGTTAGGGTTGTCCCAAATTGAGCTGAAGCTGATCTTCCATGTCAGCGGTGTGCCGCTGCTGCAGATACGCCACATCATCGTTGCCTCATCGGCTGCCAGGTGTGCCCAGTCATCATTCAGCGTCTGCCCCTTCCTCCACACTGCCACCTCGCGTGTCAAGCAGTACACCCTTGCGTGTGCGACAAAGTTTACCACCGCCTGCCGCGCCACCCTCCCGGCCTGAAAGGTCACATTCCTCCACGCCGCGTTACATCTCGTCAGCCACACTTGGTGCAGAAATGTTGCAATCCACGCCCCTTCCGGAAAACCTGACTTCGGGCTTCTTTGCATGAAAAGCAGATCCTCGAGATCCTGCCTCGCCAACCCCGGGTTCATTGCTGCCAGCACTCGCCTCAGCAAGCCCGCCACTGTCTGCACTGCAGCGCATCCGAGAAGGCAGTGATCTGGGGTTTCCTCTCCCGACAGTGCGGGCAGACCACTCCCATGAAAAATAGCCTCAAGCCCGCTTGCAAATTTCTACAGTGGAGCCTTAGAAAGATTTCACGTGCCCGCCATGGCGTGGCAAGCGAGTCTCTTTGCGTAATGACTTTGTCCCACTCGATTTCTCTCCTCTGTCCTTCCCATCTCCTTTGGTCTTCCTGCGTGCCAGCCGAGCTTGCTATCACCTTCCTTATTCCCCTCAATGAGAGTAGTTCTCCTACTTCGCATGCTTCTGACAGTAGTAGCTTCGTTCGCATGTCCCCCATGGGACCCAGGAACACGCGACCCTCCGTGAACATCGGCACCCCGCTTCGTAGGCTGAACTCCATCGTGAGATCCCCTGCGTAAGGCGCGAAAAATCCGCCGTTCTCCACGGTACACAGTCTCGCCACCACTTTGTCACCTTTCGCCTCCTCAACTTGCCAGTAGGTGAATTTTTCAGTGAAATTCTCCATGGATTCCATCGCAACCTACTGCTTGCCTCGTCATCAGCTCGCGTCAACACCAATGCTTCTGTATCTCGAGGGTCCTGTTACTCCAAAGGCATCAGTTACCAAGGCGAGGAGTTTGTCTCAGAGTCACCAACGATATCATCTGGCCTGGACATGCAGCGTTTTGCCTTTAAGCACAAGAGATATAAACATTGGTGGGATTTCGTAAACGTGCTCATAACAGCTTGTTTCCCAGCCATTACCTAGCCGTCAAGCCTGGATCATCATTGCACTATGGCGAAGGGACGCAACGGCAAGAGCGGCAAGAAGACCACTGACAATGCTCTGGATAAGGACGTACCTGACTTACCTGCGAAGGAATCCGCTGACAGCGGGAAGCCTCTCTTAATTCCCGCTTCTGCGTCTGTGATTGGTCCTTTTGAAGCCCCACCGGAGCTGCCGATCGCAAGTGAGCATGACGCTGGTTCACGACAAGAGAAAGCTGACGGGGAGGAGATTGCTGAGGGAGAACCTCGTGAGGGGATTGATGCTGAAAGCGCTGAGAATGACGGTGATGATAACGCGCAGCCGGCTGAAACCCCTGATGACGAAGACGACGGTTACCTGAGTGATGACTCTGATGAGCATCTGGAGCCAGACTCGCTTTACAGTATTCTTGCTCTGAAACGCTTTTCACTAACCTTGTTGGTGCCGATTTCCAGTAAGGTAGAAGTTAAGCGTGCTGCTATCACTGTTGCTGCGATGTTGAACGATTGGCAAGAATTATTATCGCCGGACGTGCTTCAAACCACCACTTACCAGGACCTTACACCGATGTACCTCTCCCGTGAGCGCTACGGCCGTCTGCAAGTTACATTCAACCACGTTCGAGATGCAAACTTCGTTTGGAGCCAGATCATTCGTCATGAATGCATCAATGGCGATTTCATTGACCTCACCTGGCAGCACCCTGAGGATGCGCGCTTCTTGCGCGAGCGTGTGCTAAACCCCACAACAAAGGAAGTGGTGATTAAAGGCGTACCAGGAATGATGACGGCGGAACTGTTTCGTTGCTTGTTGGTGGTGTCGAAGCTGGTCAAGCGTGGTAGGAGTGCGTTTGCCAGCGGTTTTGGCTTCCATCGGACGGTGGACCCGGTGTCTGGCCTGTTCATCCCCCATGCCGATGATGAGTACCGCTGGAGGTACTTTGTGGAAGATCCGACTACGGGAAAGCGTTACTTGCTTCATTTCCCATCGTTGACCTGCGGTTTCTGCGGGGGTCAGCACATGACACGTTACCATGATCACTATGTCGCCCCGAGACAGAAAAATTTCAACAACTAGAACGTGACTGTTAAGAAGGTTCACGAGATGAATGGTATAAGTAGTGAAGCATTGTACCTGCTGATGACACCCATTTTCCCGCTCGCTCTTCCTTATTTACCTTTTACTGACAGCTACCTGCTTCTCTTCCCCCGTAGCTGCGTCCCTGAAAGCTTCAGATCTTCTAAAGTGTATCATGCGAGACCCTGCTGTTATCCTCACCTCCACCGGTGGAGCACGAGAGGAATGGGTCTGCGTTCAGTCAGCGTGCGAAAAAGCGCAAGGAAATCGGTTCAAGCAGGCATCGGCCCACATTGCATCAGCTCGTCACAAGGGGGGCATGCGGAAGGAGGGATCAGCAACCCGTGCCAGCAAGTTCTCCCAGAAGCTGCTGGCTTTTAAGAAGGAGTACATCGTGAAGCCGTTGAAGTAACGCATGGCAACACCGCCAGCTCACAACAGCAGGGAGAGATTGGTCCAGCAGGATGTGGTGTCAGTAACAGTGTAAGAGAGGTGGCTGACATCAGCGGCTCACCTGGTCTGATAGCCTTTTGTATCATTACAGCCCATGGATGCGAGGGGGCTTCTCAGTTGTTGATTAATGGATAAGGCCCACACGGTTGTTTTCTGCGAGTTCAATGGACTCGGCAGCGTGGAGAAACAATAGAAGTGCATTGAATGGATGAGGGAGAAAACAGATGTGGCAATAATCACGGACACCAGAATACAGGCAGACCATAACTTATGGACACAAAGCAATCTGAGTGCGGTCGCAGTGTGTGGACCAGACCCCAGGGAATCGGCGGGGGGAGTTGCTATAGTGAGCTTCGTACCCGGGCTGGTGTTTGCAAGCAGCTTCACACATGAGTCTGGTAGACTCCTGGCGGTGGTTGTTCGCTGGGGAGGTCTGGAATTCTTGCTGGTGGCAGCATACATCTCGGCGCAAGCAGTCAACAGTAGCAGTTTTTACATAGACTGTCTAACGTCGTTCCTGCAGACCCTGCCGGCGCTTCCGAACATACTGGTGATGGGAGACCTCAACGTAGTCGAAGATCCGGACTTGGACCGCACTTCTCACTCTGGCTCTTCAGCGGAGAACCAGAGGCTTCTAAGCTGCTGGGGGAACACGGACTTGAGGGACGCTTTCAGGCACATAAATTCGGGCAAGAGGGAGTACACCTTTTTTGCAAAAGCAACAAGATCCAGTTCAAGGATAGATAGAGCGCTGATATCACAACCGCTGCTGTGCAAGCTGGTGGAAGCGAAACACGTGGCAATCACGAACGGGATGACAGATCACTAGAACGGGATAGGCGTGGTGATGGAATCTGCGGACGCAGTCAAGAACGGACCGGGTATCTGGAGGATGCGGGTGGAAAAGTCAAAGAAGCAGGGCGTTAGAAAAATAATCAGAAGGATCATCGAGGAATCGGCTGGGACGTCACTCGATAAGCTACTGGAGAGGCTGATCACATGATTGAAGGCATACTCAAGGGAAGAGAGAAAACGGGAGAAGGCAACCAAACTACATCTCACCAGGGAGGAAGAGCGACTCAGAACTCGGGTGTCGCGATACCCGCACTGTCAGAGGACGGGAAGAATCTTACTCCGGAAGGAGGAGCTGTTGGAGGTGTACAAAAAGAGCTATAAGGAGAAGCTGCAGGCATGGGCAGGCATTGAAGCGGAGCTAGAAGGGGAGGTGGCGTCGGGTACCCTGTCAGCACAAATCAAAACGCGTAAGGCGAAGACCGCGATCAGAGAGGTGTCAAGGAACGGGACCACCTTTCTAGGGGTAAAGGAGGTCCTCTCGGCGGCGACAGACCACTTCCGAGAGGCTTTCATCTGTGCCGGAGGAGGTGCAGCACCTGCCACGGAGGACCATCCCATGCAGCGGCAGCTGGGGGAGAAGAGCAGGAGGTCGCTAAGCGCACCTTGGACGGAAGAAGAGGTATGGAGGGCGGTAAGGGAGCTCGCCCCAGGGAAATCGCTCGGAGCGGATGGCTTGCCCAAGGAGCTTTTCGACCACAACTGGGACCTGCTGGGACCAGTACTGATGGACCTGATAAGGAGATTCACGAGGGGAGAGGAGTTGCCGCAGAACGTCACAACAGCGATGACCATCCAGCTGCACAAAAAGGGGGAGAAAGGCGACTTAGGGAACCACCGGCCAATAACACTTTTAAGCACAGTATACAAGATCGTGTCAAAAGTGATGGCAAGCAGGCTCAAGAGGGTGCTGCACGAGGTCATCTCTGAGGATCAATACGGCTTTATACCGGGTCGACAGCTGGCAGACGCGGTGGCAACGGTAGCAGATGCCATAGAAGCAGGAGCTAACGGAAAAGAGGGCTGGTACCTGTTAATGATCGATTTCCAGAAAGCATTTGACTCAATCTCGCGCGACTACCTCTTCAATACGTTACAGAAGCTGGGCTTGCCGGAGGAGTTTCTGACCTGGATGGAGGGGCTGCACAGAGAGGCAGGGACGCGCCTGCACATTAATGGGTGGCGGGGGAAAATGTTACAGTGGATAAGGGGGTGCGCCAAGGTTGTCTGCTGGCGCCGTATCTGTTCCTCTGCACGGTCGAGCCGTTATGTCTAGAGATTAATCGGAAAAGGCTGGGAATCGGAAAGCGAGGTGTGGGTAAGCTTGCGTACCTGGGCTTTGCCGACGACACCTCACTTTTACTGCACGGGGCGGATGAGCTGGAGACGGCGGCGGAGGTGTTGTCAGATTTCGGAGAAGAGTCGGGTTTGAAGGTGAACGAAGGGAAAACGGTGATCTTCCCGCCGAGGAGAAATCGAGGGAGGCCGGCGCCGCTCAACTCGCGATATAAATGGGCGGATAAGGATGAGCAGGAGCGCCTGCTGGGGATATGGATTACACCGAATGGAGACCCGACCCCATCCTGGAACAAGGCATTGGACAGGGCGAAGGGGGAGTTAACGAAATGGGAAATGAAGCACCTGACGACATCAGCGAGAGTGACAATAATTAACAACTACATCACACCGATCTTCCTCTTCCAAGTGCAGGTCTACTTACCACCGGAGGCCATCTGGAAGAAAATTCACAAGCTGTGTCACACTTTCGTCTCGAAAGGAGAAGCGGTAGAGGAAAAGCGTTTCATCCTCTGGAACTATAAGCTGGTCTGCACGCCTCGGAAGGATGGGGGGCTGGGATTAATCTGTCCTGAGCAGAGAGTCGACAGCATCGCCATCCGGAACGTCTGCCGACTGGTGCTGAAGCCAAGCTTGGTCAAGAAGTGGCTGTCGAAGAAGGCAGCGAAAATGCCCCTGGGGCTGGACACCATCTTCGCCCACAAATCATTGCTGAACCACTGGGAAAAAGGGAGCACCCGTTGGAAGGAGTTAGTCGGGAAATTTTGGGACTCGCCGTTGTGCAGAACACGTGCCCCGACAAATCGTTGGGAGGTGGAGTAGGAACATTTGGCTTTCAATCCGAACATCCCCTTCAGAGGCGCGAGCCCCTTTGGAAACCAGCAGGGAACGAAGGCACTGCTAGGTATACGCATGGGGGACCTGGTCAAGAAATCGTGGGATGGAACGTGCAGCCTCAAGAAGTTGGCGGCCCTGGCAAGGGAGTTGGGGAGCAGAGAAAAGGCGAAGTGGGCACTGAAGGCCTTCAAAGCAGCCCCCTCAGGCTGGCAGGAGATGGTGTTGGCGAAGTCAATGAGCGAAGAGGTGGTGGCCACGGTGAAGCTACTACGGATAGGCGCGGGTAGTGCAGGCGCCTGACGGGCGGGTAGGGCAGGGCCGCGACGGCGGTTGTAGGCAGGGCCGCGACGGCTGCTGCAGGCAGGGCCGCAAAGGCGTCAGGGCAGGGCCGCAAAGGTGGCAGGGGAGGGCCGTGACGGCGGCTGCAGGAAGGGCCGCGACAGCGGCTACAGGGCAGGGCCACGACTGCCGCAGGGAAGGGCCGCGACGGCGGCTGCAGGAAGGGCCGCGACACCGGTTGCAGGGCAGGGCCGCGACTGCAGCAGGGAAGGGCCGCGACGGCGGCTGCAGGAAGGGCCGCGACAGCGGCTGCAGGAAAGGGCCGCGACGGCGGTAGGGCAGGGCCGCGAAGGCGACAGGCAGGGCCGCAACGGCGGCTGTAGGGCAGGGCCACGACAGCGGCAGGGCAGGGCCGCGACGGCTGCAGGCAGGGCCACGACGGCTGCTGCAGGTGTTCGACAGCAGGGCCGTGATGGCAGGGCAGGCGCAAGGGCGCAGTTGAGGCAGGCGCGAGGCGCGCGACAGGGCAGGCAGGCACGAGAGCGTGCTTTGGGCAAGGTTGGAGAAAAAAAAAGATTCGTGGTGGGCCCTAAAAAGAAAAAGAAAACGGTCCCACTAGGGAACCTGCTCTATACCATGTGAGAATAGTACGAGCAAATGAAATGACTAGGAAGCAGGTGGGTACAAGTAGTAAACCTAAAAGTGTTGTACCCCATATTATCCACCCCACTACAGCCTACACAGACTATAGCATATAAGTTTGACAGAAACAGCGAGAGGCGCCTGAGTCCAGGGTGAAAATGTGCAGGGCCTCCTTAGACTCTGCACCTGTACTAGCCGAGTCACAAGCACCTAGACTAGTAGCCTCTACACTACCAGGTGCCTCTACACCCCCAGCACTAGTACCCTGCTACGGCGAGTGTGTCTCAGGCTGCCGCCACTGCTGTCGACGGGGACGAGTAACGCCAGTACCAGCACCTCCAGCACCAGCACGCCAAGCTCCTCCACCAAGACTGCCCCACATGATAGCCCACTCACGGAGCTTGTGGTGAGAGAGTTGCAGGCTGCCACTGCTATTGCTACTGTCGACGGGGACGAGTAACGCCAGCACTAGCACCTCTAGCACCAGCACGCCAAGCTCCTCCACCAGGACTACCCCACTGGATAGCCCACTCGCGGAGCTACTGCGATGAGAGAGGCTCCTGCAGACGAGGCTGCCGCTGGCGTAGGAAAGTGGTAGGGGCCATGGCAGTCAGTAGCAGTAGCGTAGGAGCGGTTGCAGTACTAGTAGCTATAGCATCAGCAGCGTAGGGTGGCAGCAACAGCGTAGGGTGGTAGCAGCAGCTCGGGCGGCAGCAGCAGCGTAAGGCGGTAGCAGCAGCTTGGGTGGCAGCAGCAGCATAGGGCGGCAGCAGCAGCTCGGGCGGCAGCAGCAGCGCGAGTGGCGACAGCAGTTCAGTGCGGCGGTAGCAGCGCGGGCGGCAGCAGCAGTAGCAGCTCAGGTAGCAGCGTGGGGCGGCAGCAGCAGCTCAGGCGGTAGCAACAGAGCGGGCGGCGTTGCTAGGTTGTTGTCATTGTACTGTTTGTTCTGTTATAAATCTGCATGTGAATTGGTCTTGTGGCTGCTTGCTTGTGCTCAGAATGTGTGGTGATCTTGAGATCCACCCTGAGTTTTGTTTCGCTTTGCTTGTTCTCTTGACTGGTCTTGTGACCCTTTGTTGTCTTGCTATCCCTCACTTAGCCTATGGAGGTGTGTCATACATATCTGTATGTTGTTAGAATCCTAAGCCAAGGTAGGCTTAGGTTTTAGGAAGGAGAAGTGAAAGAAGAGGGTTTCAACTAGTACGCAGGTAGGACACATATAGGAAACCCTAAAAGGGTTGTACTTACTGTTGAGTACCCCACTACAGCCTACACAACAAATAATATTTTGACACACCCCCATAGGCAAAGTGGGGTATAGCCAACAGAACAAGCATTCACAGAACCAGTTCATAGGCAAAGACTGGTGGCAGAAGCAGAGGGCAAGTGAGGAGGAGGAGGAAACTGGAGAGGAGAGGAAGTGGGCGGCCGCTGAAGCTGCTGGCACTGGTCGCAAACGGCGTAACTGGCTCTGCTCGCCGGCAAGAGCAACTGACCCTCTAGCGACCGGAGCAATGGGTGACCGGAGTAACTGGCTCGCTCGCCGGCAAGAGCAACTGACACACGGGCCTCTGACGCAACGGTCTCATGGGCGACTAGAGCTGCGGACTTCACGACGGCCAAATGTCCTTACCCCCCTCGGATTGTCCCACCCCCGCGGTGTCACACCCCTCGGCCCTAGCGCCACTCCCCAACCTCACCCACTCCATCCCCCCCTCGGCGGCAGCTGCAGTAGTGGGAGAGAGAGGAGTGGGTGCACGTGACGGCAGCTGCCCCTCCTCCTCACGCACTCCCACCACCCCCATACCCCCCCTTACCCCCGCCACCCCCATACCCTCCACACGGCTGCACGCGCAGCAGGAAGTCAAAGGAGGAGGGGGGAGGGCGGGCGGCGTCACGATGTGCAGGGCGCGGGCGGGCTGTGGGGCGCTCGCAACGGGCAGGGCGCGGGCGGCAGGCGGGTCCAGGAGGGGCGGCGCGCGGGTCCCCAGGGGCGGTGCACAGGTCCAGCAGGGGCGGCGCGCGGGTCCCGCAGGGGCGACGCGACGGGCGACGGGAATCAACGCGCGGGTCCCTGGGGGCGCCACGACAGACGACGGGGGGAGCGCGCATGTCCCCGGGGGCGCCACGACGGGCGACGGGGGGCGGCGCGCGGGTCCCTGGGGACGCCGCGACGGAGCGTATAACCACCGCGCGCGCGCCCGGGGCGCGCGGTGGGCAGGAAACCGCCTCTCGCCCCGAACGCATGTCAGGCAGAAAACCGTCACGCGCGCCGAGCGAGTGGCGGGAAGAAAAAACGTGGCCACGGGGCGCGCGACAGACAGTACAGCAACGGAAGCAGGTGGGGCCACAGCCCAGGAGCGTAGACGCTCTGATAGCATGTTAGAATCCTAAGCCAAGTTAGGGCTTAGGTTTTAGGAAGGAGAAGTGAAAGAAGAGGGTTTGAACTAGTAGGCAGGTGGGATACATATAGGAAACCTTAAAAGGGTTGCACTCACTTTTAAGTATCCCACTACAGGGTACACAACAAATAACAGCTTGACATATGTTACTCTGGAAGGGTATAGTAATGCTAGCTTGAAATGATAAAACTTTTTTATGGTTGTACTTGTATTGTCTAGTTCCTAATCATTCACCATTCCTGTTTCCTGATTACAACAACAATCATTCTATGGTAAACAACACATATCCAACTTCCAACCCTCCCTAGCTACTGCAAAACCCTGGCAAGTCTGCCAGCTTAATCCCAGTAACAACCCAACAGCCCCCCACAATCAAACAGCCAACTTCTACAGTGCTGGTGGGTAGTGCTGCCACTAATGTCTTCACAGTGCACTCGGTACTACTGGTATCATTCTATATTTTCACTGCAATTCGATATTGTCACTGACTTGTCTCTCCTGTTGTTCCATGTTTACTACACTGCTCTACACAAAGAGCAGTGAGGTGAGCGCAACAGCAAAGGCAGCGGCCACAACACTGACCGGTGAAGCGAGAGAGCCTGGCACGGGGAGAGCGGGTGGAGTGAAGAGTCACATCAGAGCAATAGCGAAGCATTTGTGGAAGCAAGTGAAGGGTGGGAGAAGGGCATGTGATTGTCTGGGAAGGAAGGGGGAGGGTGGGGGGGAACAGGGAAACGAGGGGAAGCAGGGAAACGAGGGATCACAGTTGCAAAAAACGAAAACAGTAATGATCAACCCAAAGCAGAAAACATACCAATAGGCTTAGGTGGTGGCGGTGAGGCAGAAGGGGAGTAGGGAGTTCCGGCTCCACCTCCAGATGCACCTCCGAATAAACCTGCTGATATGCACAAATCAAAACAGGTCGCGACAACAACTCAGGCATGTCGTCAAGCAAAGCGACATTATATAGTTTCAGCAGAGAGACAGCACGTCGTTTGAGCAAAGCGAATGAGTTGTCCATCACTAGCATGTCAGGAGTGGGGCTGATTCAACTAGCAGCTTGACCCCCCCTATTGACCTGTTGGTCGCTGGCATGTAATACAAAAGGTGAAGGTGTCACACTTCCAGCATAAGCCCGCCTGTGCCACTGGGGTTTGGCCGCAGCTAGCGTTGTCAGCAGGACAAGTGACGTCGTTGCCATCAATATTCCTGCGATGGAAGTGGGCAAATTGACGGAGAAAATGCTAATGTGACTCCGCCGTGTACGCATGCATGTGTAACAATGCCCGTGAGATAGTGCCATGGCCATGACATGTGACTCAGCCACGTCTGTTTGGGAAACTTGTGCACAGATTCAGTGAAGCAGTCAAGATACACAATCTCATAGCTATCAACCTCCTGACTTAAAGGTTTGTTATTTTCACTTGAACTTATAATTTATAGATTTGGTGCCTGGGGACATTTGTTGGATGTCCGAACCAATTTTGTTGCAGAAACTATCTCAAACATCCTCGGCTAACGTTGCCTGACTCTTATATTGTGGCGGGAAATATCCATGCGCATCGTAGAGGGAGGGATAATGCAGAGTGCATGCGCACATGGTTTGCAGTCCATAAAGACTCCCAAATGCGGCTGGAATAGGCCCGGTAAGTTGGTTGTACTTCAAATCTCTGCAAAGGTTGAAATTGTGAAGTGCCAGTTGTGTGAGTTACGCAGTAAGGAGAAACACGAAGTGAGTAAGGGATGCAGATAACAATGGAAAAGTGGGGGTGAGTGGGCATACAACTCTACAGGAGTCGCTGCAAACTCCGCACCGCGAGAAATGGTGCGAGGCCATGGACCGAGAACTCGGCGCGTTAGGGGAACGTAATACGCGGAAATTGATTCCCCTAACAACAACATGGTATATGGCAGGTGGGTGTTATGTATGAAGACGAACGTCGATGGTTCTATCGGGCGGTTCAAAGCTTGTTGGGTTATCTACGGCTTTGACCAACTCACGGTTCAAAAACGTTCTTGCCCTTAAGACGCCACACATCTCTTCACATTTTACCAGCCAAACTTTGTTTCTCTACGACGTGATGATCCTAGTTGAGCCGCCCGGCATTGTTGTCAACCCATCTAACGTGTACCGTACATGCAAATCTTCCTTTGGTATTAAACAGGCCCCGTGGCTTTGGCAACATCATCTATATTCTCGTCTCATCCGCATCAGTTTCGACCAATTACCATCCAACCAAGGCATGTATCGCCTTGATCGTGATAAAGACTCCATCCTCCTCAACAGACATCATCACTGAATTTGAAGGGCAGCTTTGTACTGACCTTAGGACTACAACCTCCGCCATAGTCAATCATTTTCTCAAAGTCCATCATCTCCTTCTGTACCGACCTCGTCTACAATGTTTGCACCGTACTTGTCTCCAACGAACCGCGCAAAAATCCACTCCAATGAACCACGAATTAGTTCACCTACCTAGATTGCATAGTATCTGTAACTTCTTGAAGGCGAGAAAATTTTCAGCTATCATGTGTCGTCCCAATCTCTTGCTTCGCGTTTTTTAGGTGACCTGAACTTGAGATTATGGAGGACTGTCGAACTCACCTACAAAGAAACTCCGACTCTGACTCACTAGTACAAATTGGGATGCAGAGTGCATGGGCATTGGAGGAGTGCCAACAGTGATGCGCACATGGCATGCAGCACCCAGTGGGCAGAGCACGAATGTGGAGCAAACCCAGTGTGCATCTTACAACAATTTGAGTGCCGTGAGCGCAGAGATGCTGTCAGGAATGGAGCCCGTGAGACTGTTATAGCTAAGACTCCTGTGTGGGTTGAGTGAGTTGCGCATGATGAGAAGAGAGGACATGGCAGGAAGGAAGAAAGAAAACACGCGTCTTAAATTGAAATGTGGTGAGGAACATGAGGGGTGACATGATCGTAAGCCAATTTTCTTTGAATTTATGACACTCATACTTGTAGTAACATTGTGCATACCTTGCGATGTGCTATGCTAAAAATCAGAGTGCACAGTAGCAATGCATGAGCACACGATGAAGGTGAATGGGGAGTCTCCCAATGAATGCCACAGACATCTAATCCCCTACCTGCTTCAACTCCCTTCCACTTGATCACCAGCACAGCACACCACCTCAACGCAACATGTGACTCGAGCCTGTCCACAGCGGGTGGCTGGAACTGTGAAGGTATAATCAGTTCACAAGGGCTACGGCAAGGCTACTAAAACGGACTGCGATTTTCTAGGTTGACATTGTGTAGTGGCAGTCACGAACTCTTCCAAAGCAGCAAAAGCATGAAATTATTGAAGCACAGCAGCAGGGAGGGACACGGAGTGGCAAAGGGATGCAGACAACAGGGGGGGGGGGGGGGGAGGAGTGGGCATGCAGAGTGCATGGGCAGTGGAGGAGTGCCAGCAGTGATGCGCACATGGCATGCAGCACCTTGTGGGCAGAGCAGCACACAGGTGGAGCAAACCCAGTGTGCCTCTTACAGGTATTCGAGTGCCGTGAGCGCAGAGATGCTGTTGGGAATAGAGCCTGTGAGCTTGGTACTATTAAGGTACCTGTGTGGGGTGAGTGAGTTGGGCGTGGCAGGAGAGAAAGAAAGAAACACACACGTTTTGTATTGGAAGGTGGTGAGGACTGCGAGGGGTGAGATGATGGTGAGCCGACTTTCGTGGGATTGGATGACACTCATACTTGTACTAACATTGTGCATATCTTGCAATGTGATATGCTGAAAATCAGAGTGCACAGTAGCAGTGCATGGTGCACACGATGAAGGTGAATGGGGAGTCTCGCAATGAATGCCACAGACATCTAATCCCCAACCAGCTTCAACTCCATTCCACTTGATCACCAGCACAGCACACCACCTCAACGCAACATGTGACTCGAGCCTGTCCACAGAGAGTGGCCAACATGTGTCGAACATGTGAACTGTGAAGGCATAATCAGTTCAAAAGGGCTAGGGTAGACATGGGCAAACAGCGAGGCGTGTCATACTCGCCTCGTTTTGGGCCTACTCGTTTTTTAAACGAGGCGAGGCGAGTATTTCTCGCCCGAGTAAAAGTATCAATTTCCCTACTCATTACTCGCCCAAACGGGCGGGTTCTTTTTTACTCGCTAGGAGTAAAAAAGTATTTGTGGCGAGGCAAGTAATATTCGCCTCGCCCTAAGAATGAAGTGTTAGAGTAGACTCAGTTGGAGAGCTCCGCGCTATATACTGAAGGCTGGTGCTAGGGTTCGGAGAAGGTAGACTGGATCTACTTCAACGACCATCTGTAAATTGGTGAGGGGGGGTTTGGCTTTGTAGATTCTGAGCAGTGAAGAGTGGTAAGCGGAGGCAAATCGGATGGAAACTTCAGACAAATTTGTTGTGAGGGGTAGTGTCCAAATTTGATGACTGGGTATCGCGTCGAAAGTGCAAATCGCGATCTCATGCGGTCATATTTTCTTTTGGCCTCTAGCATCCGAAGATTTTAACCACGTTGTTACTTACGAGTTTAGCGAGTACTTGATGCATACACGAGTAAGAAAAATCTTGCGTGTACGAAATTACTCGCTTAAAAACCGAGTAAAATACAAGTTGTTTTCTACTCGCGGGTATTGCTTGCCTCGCCTCGGACGAGTAAAAATGATTTGGCCTGCTCGTTACTCGTAAAAAACGAGTAATTAGAAAGAGGCGGGTTTTTTACTCGCCTCGTTGCCCATGTCTAGGCTAGGGCAAGGCTACTCTAGCGGACTGCGATTTTCTAGGTTGACATTGTGTAGTGGCAGTCGCGAACTCTTCCGAAGCAGCAAAAGCATGAAATCATTGAAGCACAGCAGCAGGGAGGAACACGGAGTGGCAAAGGGTTGCAGACGATAAGGGGGGGGGGGGGGGGGGGGGGGAGGAGTGGGTATGCAGAGTGCATGGGTAGTGGAGGAGTGCCAGCAGTGATGCTCACATGGCGTGTACCCAGTGGGCCGAGCAACATGCAGGTGGAGCCAACCCAGTGTGCCTCTTACAGATTTGTGAGAGCCGTGAGAGCGGATATGCTGTCAGGAAAGGAGCCCGTGAGATTGTTGCATTCAAGAGCCCTGTGCGGGGTGAGTGAGTTGGGCGTGGCAGGAGAGAAAGAAAGAAACACACACGTTTTGTATTGGAAGGGCCGCGAGGGTTGAGATGATGGTGAGCCGACTTTCGTGGGATTGGATGACACTCATACTCGTAGTAACATTGTGCATACCTTCCAATGTGATATGCTAAAAACTAGAGTGCACAGTAGCAGTGCATGGTGCACACGATGAAGGAGAATGAGGAGTCTCGCAATGAATGCCACAGACATCTCTGCCCCAAACAGCTTCAACTCCCTTCCACTTGATCACCAGCACAGCACACCAGTTCAGCTTCAACTTGCCATGTGACTCGAGCCTGTCCACAGCGGGTGGCTGGAACTGTGAAGGCATAATCAGTTCGGAAGGGCTAGGGCAAGGCTACTGTGGCGGACTGCAATTTTCTAGGTTGCCATTGTGTAGTGGCAGTCGCGAACTCTTTCGAAGCAGCAAAAGCATGAAATTATTGAAGCACAGAGGAACGCGTAGTGGCGAAGGGATGCAGACGACAAGGGGGGGGGGGAGGGGGAGGAGTGGGGCATGCAGAGTGCATGGGCAATGGAGGAGTGCCAGCAATGAGCACATGGCATGCAACACTCAGTGGGCAGAGCAGCATGCAGGTGGAGCAAGCCCAGTGTACCACTTACAGGAATTCGAGTGCCTTTAGCGCAGAGATACTCTCGGGAATGGAGCCTGTGAGATTGTTTGTGAAAAGATCCCTGTGTGGGGTGAGTGAGTTGCGCGTGGTAAGATGAGAAGCTCGACAGAGGGTGGAGGAAACCTGGAAGGCATGAAAAGTTTAGAAGGGCTAGAGCAAGGCCAATGAAAGTTGAGATTTTGTTGTGGCAACTGTGAATTCTACTGCACACGTGGATTTCATGAAGCGCGAAAAAGAATGATGTGGCAAGGACAATCGAGGAGTTGGAAAGCGATGCAGACAGCAAAGGGTGGCAGGAGTGGGCATGCAGAGTGCATGGGCAGTGGAGGAGTGCCGGCAGTGATGCGCTCATGGCATGCAGCACCCAGTGAGAAGAGCAGCACGAAGGTGGAGAAAACCCAGTGTGCCTCATACAGGTATGTAAGTGCCGTGAGGGCAGAGATACTGTCGGGAATGGAGCCCGTGAGATTGTTGAGGCCAAGATCCCTGTATGGGATGAGTGAGTTGCGCGTGGAAACATGAGAGGCTCAAATGCTTGTCTACAGAGGGTGGCGGGAACCTAGAAGGCATGATAGATTCAGAAGGGCTAGAGCCACGCGATTATAGAGGTTTGCGATTGTGAAGGTAGAGATTGTGTAGTGGCAACTGTGAGATCTACTAAGCAAGGCACACGTGAACACAGTGAAGCGAGACCACAAGGTTTGTGTAGACAGAAGAGGGGGTGAGGAGTGGGCATGCAGAGTGCATGGGCAATGGAGGAGTGCCGGCAGTGATGCGCACATGGCATGCAGCACCCAGTGGGCAGAGCAGCATGCAGGTGGAGCAAGCCCATTGTACCACTTACAGGAATCTGAGAGCCTTCAGCACAGAGCTACTGTCAGGAATAGAACCCGTGAGATTGTTGCTCCAAAGACCCCTGTGTGGGGTGAGTAAGTTGCGCGCGGTAAGACGAGAGGCTCAAACTTGTCTACAGAAGGTGGTGGGAACCTGGAAGGCATGATAGATTCAGAAGGGCTAGAGCCAGGCAATTGTAGAGGTGTGTGATTGTGAAGGTAGAGATTGTGTAGTGGGATCTGTGAGTTCTACTAAGCAAGGCACACGTGAACACAGTGAAGCAAGACCACAAGGTTGGTGCAGCAGAGACGATCGAGTAGTGGCAACGCGATGCAGACAGAAGAAGGGGGGAGGAGTGGGCATGCAGAGTGCATGGGCGGTGGAGGAGTGTTGACAGTGTTGCGCACATGGCATACAGCACCCAGTGCGCAGAGTAGCACGCAGGTGGAGCAAACCCGCTCTGCCTCTTACAGCCATGTGAGTGCCTTCAGCGCGGAGATGTTGTCGGGAATGGAGCCCGTGAGATTGTTGCTGCCAAGTTGCCTGTGTCGGGTGAGTGAGTTGCGCGTGGTGAGACGAGAGGCTCAAATGCTTGTCTACAGAGGGTGGCAGGAACCTGGAAGGCATGATAGATTCAGAAGGGCTAGAGCCAGGCAATTGTAGAGGTTTGTGATTGTGAAGGTAGAGATTGTGTAGTGGCAACTGTGAGTTCTACTAAGCAAGGCACACGTGAACTCAATGAAGAGAGACCACAAGGTTGGAGCAGCAGAGACGATCGAGGAGTGGCAACGCGATGCAGACAGAAGAAGGGGAGAGGAGTGGGCCAGCAGAGTGCATGGGCAGTGGAGGAGTGCCAACAGTGATGCGCACATGGCATGCAGCATCCAGTGGGCAGAGCTGCACGCAGGTGGAGCAAACCCATTCTGCCTCTTACAGGAATTCGAGTGCCGTGAGTGCAGAGATGCTGTCGGGAATGGAGCCTATGAGATTGTTGCTGCCAAGATCTCTGTATGGGGTGAGTGAGCTGCGTGTGGTAAGACGAGAGGCCTAAATGCTTGTCTACAGAGGGTGGCGGGAACCTGGAAGGCATGATAGATTCAGAAGGGCTAGAGCCAGGCAATTGTAGAGGTTTGTGATTGTGAAGGTAGAGATTGTGTAGTGGCAACTGTGAGTTCTACTAAGCAAGGCACACGTGAACTCAATGAAGAGAGACCACAAGGTTGGAGCAGCAGAAACGATCGAGGAGTGGCAACGCGATGCAGACAGAAGAAGGGGGAAGGATTGGGCAGCAGAGTGCATGGGCAGTGGAGGCGTGCCGGCAGAGATGCGCACATGGCATGCAGCACCCATTGGACAGAGCAACACGCAGGTGGTGCAAACCCAGTGTGCCTCTTACAAGTCTTCGAGTGCCGTGAGCGCAGAGATGCTATCGGGAATGGAGCCTGTGAGATTGTTGCCCCAAAGATTCCTGTATGGGGTGAGTGAGCTGCGCGTGGTGAGACGAGAGGCTCAAATGCTTGTCTACAGAGGGTGGCGGGAACCAGGAAGGCATGATAGATTCAGAAGGGCTAGAGCCAGGCAATTGTAGAGGTTTATGATTGTGAAGGGAGAGATTGTGTAGTGGCAACTGTGAGTTCTACTAAGCATGGCGCACGTGAACTCAATGAAGAGAGACCACAAGGTTGGAGCAGCAGAGACGATCGAGGAGTGGCAACGCGATGCAGACAGAAGAAGGGGGAAGGATTGGGCAGCAGAGTGCATGGGCAGTGGAGGCGTGCCGGCAGAGATGCGCACATGGCATGCAGCACCCATTGGACAGAGCAACACGCAGGTGGTGCAAACCCAGTGTGCCTCTTACAAGTCTTCGAGTGCCGTGAGCGCAGAGATGCTATCGGGAATGGAGCCTGTGAGATTGTTGCCCCAAAGATTCCTGTATGGGGTGAGTGAGCTGCGCGTGGTGAGACGAGAGGCTCAAATGCTTGTCTACAGAGGGTGGCGGGAACCAGGAAGGCATGATAGATTCAGAAGGGCTAGAGCCAGGCAATCGTAGAGGTTTATGATTGTGAAGGGAGAGATTGTGTAGTGGCAACTGTGAGTTCTACTAAGCATGGCGCACGTGAACTCAATGAAGAGAGACCACAAGGTTGGAGCAGCAGAGACGATCGAGGAGTGGCAGCGCGATGCAGACAGAAGAAGGGGGGAGGAGAGGGCATGCAGAGTGCATGGGCAGAGGAAGAGTGCCGACAGTGATATGCACATGAGATGCAGCACCCAGTGGGCAGAGCGGCACGCAGGTGGAGCAAACCCAATGTGCCTCTTACAGCCTTGTGAGTGCCGTGAGTGCAAAGATGCTGTTGGGAATGGAACCCGTGAGACTGTTATAGCTAAGACTCCTGTGTGGGGTTGAGTGAGTTGCGCGTGGTAAGACGAGAGGCTCGAATGTTTGGCTGCAGAGGGTGGCAGGAACCTGGAAGGCATGATAGATTCGAAGGGCTAGAGCCAGGCAATTGTAGAAGTTTGTGATTGTGAAGGTAGAGATTGTGTTGTGGCAACTGTGAGTTCTACTAAGCAAGGCACACGTGAACAAAATGAAGCGAGACCACAAGGTTTGTGCAGACAGAAGAGGGGGGGAGGAGTGGGCATGCAAAGTGCATGGGCAGTGGAGGAGTGCCAACAGTGATGCACACATGGCATGCAGCACCCAGTGGGCAGAGCAGCACGCAGGTGGAGCAAGCCCAGTATGCCTCTTACAGCTGTTTGAGTAGTGTGAGCACAGAAATGCTGTCGGGAATAGGACCCGTGAGGCTGTTGCCGCTAGTAACACCCCTGTGTGGGGTGAGTGAAATCGTGGTGAGACGAGAGGCTCAAATGCTTGACTACAGAGGGTGGCGGGAACCTGGAAGGCATGATACATTCAGGAGGGCTAGAGCCAGGCAGTTGTAGAGGTTTGTGATTGTGAAGGTAGAGATTGTGTAGTGGCATCTGTGAGTTCTACTAAGCAAGGCACACGTGAACTCAATGAAGAGAGACCACAAGGTTGGAGCAGCAGAGACGATCGAGGTGTGGCAATGCGATGCAGACAAAAGAAGGGGGAAGGATTGGGCAGCAGAGTGCATGGGCAGTGGAGGCGTGCCGGCAGAGATGCGCACATGGCATGCAGCACCCATTGGACAGAGCAACACGCAGGTGGTGCAAACCCAGTGTGCCTCTTACAAGTCTTCGAGTGCCGTGAGCGCAGAGATGCTATCGGGAATGGAGCCTGTGAGATTGTTGCCCCAAAGATTCCTGTATGGGGTGAGTGAGCTGCGCGTGGTGAGACGAGAGGCTCAAATGCTTGTCTACAGAGGGTGGCGGGAACCAGGAAGGCATGATAGATTCAGAAGGGCTAGAGCCAGGCAATTGTAGAGGTTTATGATTGTGAAGGGAGAGATTGTGTAGTGGCAACTGTGAGTTCTACTAAGCAAGGCGCACGTGAACTCAATGAAGAGAGACCACAAGGTTGGAGCAAGAGAGACGATCGAGGAGTGGCAACGCGATGCAGACAGAAGAAGGGGGGAGGAGTGGGCATGCAGAGTGCATGGGCGGTGGAGGAGTGTTGACAGTGTTGCGCACATGGCATGCAGCACCCAGTGCGCAGAGTAGCACGCAGGTGGAGCAAACCCGCTCTGCCTCTTACAGCCATGTGAGTGCCTTCAGCGCGGAGATGTTGTCGGGAATGGAGCCCGTGAGATTGTTGATGCCAAGATCCCTGTATGGGGTGAGTGAGCTGCGCGTGGTAAGACGGGAGGCCTAAATGCTTGTCTACAGAAGGTGGTGGGAACCAGGAAGGCATGATAGATTCAGAAGGGCTAGAGCTAGGCAATTGTAGAGGTTTGTGATTGTGAAGGTAGAGATTGTGTAGTGGCAACTGTGAGTTCTACTAAGCAAGGCACATGTGAACAAAATGAAGCGAGACCACAAGGTTTGTGCAGACAGAAGAGGGGGGGAGGAGTGGGCATGCAAAGTGCATGGGCAGTGGAGGAGTGCCAACAGTGATGCACACATGGCATGCAGCACCCAGTGGGCAGAGCAGCACGCAGGTGGAGCAAGCCCAGTATGCCTCTTACAGCTGTTTGAGTAGTGTGAGCACAGAAATGCTGTCGGGAATAGGACCCGTGAGGCTGTTGCCGCTAGTAACACCCCTGTGAGGGGTGAGTGAAATCGTGGTGACACGAGAGGCTCAAATGCTTGACTACAGAGGGTGGCGGGAACCTGGAAGGCATGATACATTCAGGAGGGCTAGAGCCAGGCAGTTGTAGAGGTTTGTGATTGTGAAGGTAGAGATTGTGTAGTGGCAACTGTGAGTTCTACTAAGCAAGGCGCACGTGGACTCAATGAAGAAAGACCACAAGGTTGGAGCAGCAGAGACGATCGAGGTGTGGCAATGCGATGCAGGCAAAAGAAGGGGGGAGGATTGGGCAGCAGAGTGCATGGGCAGTGGAGGCGTGCCGGCAGAGATGCGCACATGGCATGCAGCACCCATTGGACAAAGCAACACGCAGGTGGTGCAAACCCAGTGTGCCTCTTACAAGTATTCGAGTGCCGTGAGCGCAGAGATGCTGTCGGGAATGGAGCCTGTGAGATTGTTGCCCCAAAGATTCCTGTACGGGGTGAGTGAGCTGCGCGTGGTGAGACGAGAGGCTCAAATGCTTGTCTACAGAGGGTGGCGAGAACCTGGAAGGCATGATACATTCAGAAGGGCTCTCGCTAGGCAATTGTAGAGGTTTGTGATTGTGAAGGTACAGATTGTGTAGTGGCAACTGTGAGTTCTACTAAGCAAGGCACATGTGAACTCAATGAAGACAGACCACAAGGTTGGAGCAGCAGAGACGATCGAGTAGTGGCAACGCGATGCAGACAGAAGAAGGGGGGAGGAGTGGGCATGTAGAGTGCATGGGCGGTGGAGGAGTGTTGACAGTGTTGCGCACATGGCATGCAGCACCCAGTGCGCAGAGCAGCACGCAGGTGGAGCAAACCCGCTCTACCTCTTACAGCCATGTGAGTGCCTTCAGCGCGGAGATGTTGTCGGGAATGGAGCCCGTGAGATTGTTGCTGCCAAGATCCCTGTATGGGGTGAGTGAGCTGCGCGTGGTAAGACGGGAGGCCTAAATGCTTGTCTACAGAAGGTGGTGGGAACCTGGAAGGCATGATAGATTCAGAAGGGCTAGAGCCAGGCAATTGTAGAGGTTTGTGATTGTGAAGGTAGAGATTGTGTAGTGGCAACTGTGAGTTCTACTAAGCAAGGCGCACGTGAACTCGATGAAGAGAGACCACAAGGTTGGAGCAGCAGAGACGATCGAGGAGTGGCAACATGATGCAGACAGAAGAAGGGGGGAGGAGAGGGCATGCAGAGTGCATGGGCAGTGGAAGAGTGCCGACAGTGATACGCACATGAGATGCAGCACCCAGTGGGCAGAGCGGCACGCAGGTGGAGCAAACCCAATGTGCCTCTTACAGCCTTGTGAGTGCCGTGAGTGCAAAGATGCTGTTGGGAATGGAGCCCGTGAGACTGTTATAGCTAAGACTCCTGTGTGGGGTTGAGTGAGTTGCGCGTGGTAAGACGAGAGGCTCGAATGTTTGGCTGCAGAGGGTGGCGGGAACCTGGAAGGCATGATAGATTCAGAAGGTCTAGAGCCAGACAATTGTAGAGGTTTGTGATTGTGAAGGTAGAGATTGTGTTGTGGCAACTGTGAGTTCTACTAAGCAAGGCACACGTGAACAAAATGAAGCGAGACCACAAGGTTTGTGCAGACAGAAGAGGGGGGGAGGAGTGGGCATGCAAAGTGCATGGGCAGTGGAGGAGTGCCAACAGTGATGCACACATGGCATGCAGCACCCAGTGGGCAGAGCAGCACGCAGGTGGAGCAAGCCCAGTATGCCTCTTACAGCTGTTTGAGTAGTGTGAGCACAGAAATGCTGTCGGGAATAGGACCCGTGAGGCTGTTGCTGCTAGTAACACCCCTGTGTGGGGTGAGTGAAATCGTGGTGAGACGAGAGGCTCAAATGCTTGACTACAGAGGGTGGCGGGAACCTGGAAGGCATGATACATTCAGGAGGGCTAGAGCCAGGCAGTTGTAGAGGTTTGTGATTGTGAAGGTAGAGATTGTGTAGTGGCATCTGTGAGTTCTACTAAGCAAGGCACACGTGAACTCAATGAAGAGAGACCACAAGGTTGGAGCAGCAGAGACGATCGAGGTGTGGCAATGCGATGCAGACAAAAGAAGGGGGAAGGATTGGGCAGCGAAGTGCATGGGCAGTGGAGGCGTGCCGGCAGAGATGCGCACATGGCATGCAGCACCCATTGGACAGAGCAACACGCAGGTGGTGCAAACCCAGTGTGCCTCTTACAAGTATTCGAGTGCCGTGAGCGCAGAGATGCTGTCGGGAATGGAGCCTGTGAGATTGTTGCTGCCAAGATGCCTGTGTCGGGTGAGTGAGTTGCGCGTGGTAAGACGAGAGGCTTAAATGCTTGTCTACAGAGGGTGGCAGGAACCTGGAAGGCATGATAGATTCAGAAGGGCTAGAGCCAGGCAATTGTAGAGGTTTGTGATTGTGAAGGTAGAGATTGTGTAGTGGCAACTGTGAGTTCTACTAAGCAAGGCACACGTGAACACAATGAAGAGAGACTACAAGGTTTGTGCAGACAGAAGAGGGGTGGAGGAGTGGGCATGCAAAGTGCATGGGCAGTGGAGGAGTGCCAGCAGTGATGCGCACATGGCATACAGCACCCAGTGGGCAGAGCGGCACGCAGGTGGAGCAGACCCAGTTCGCCTCTTACAGATATTCGAGTGCCGTGAGCGCAGAGATGCTCTCAGGAATGGAGCCCGTGAGATTATTGCCGCCAAGATTCCTGTGTGGGATTGAGTGAGTTGCGCGTGATGAGAAGAGAGGGCATGGCAGGAGGAAAAGAAAGAAACACTCACGTGTGACTTCATGACACTCGTACATCTAGTACCTTGCGCATGCCTTGCAATGTGCTATGCTAAAAACCAGAGTGCACAGTAGCAGTGCATGGAGCACACGATGAAGGTGAATGGGGAGTCTCGCAATGAATGCCACAGACATCTAATCCCCAAACAGCTTCAACTCCATTCCAGCTCTGTGTGCGGGTGTGATGAGAAGAGTAGGCGTGAGAGGAGGGAAATAAAGCAACGCACGCTTGATTACACGGAGGTGAGTAACGCGATAATTAAGATGGTGACGATATGGCAAGCCTGGGGTGGGGAATAAAAGCACCAGGGGAGGAACCTGGAGCAATGGAAGCAGCTGTGATGGGAGAAGTAGATCACGGAGGGAGAGAGAGGTGGGAGAGGTCGGTTTCGGAGCTGAGGGAAGCATCTGCGGCAGGCAGCAGATGGTGTGTCGTGGAAGAAGCGCCTTTCCATCGAAGATACCAACGCGTGCACTCACATCCAGGTGATCATGCCTGAAGCGTCGCACATGATGCCTGCCACAGTGCTGCAATTGTCTCCCACCTTCCACCCCATGCCCCATTCCGTCTGGACGTCGCTGAGAAACAACCCTGACGTGTTGGGGCGAGGAGAGGGCATAAGAAAAGTCGCGGAAGGAAACGAGTGACATGAGCACTCATGAATAGCATGCGTGCATAAGCTGCGAGGCGGGCGTCGGAAGGAAAGGGGAGAGGAGGGAGTTGGGAAGGGGGGGAGGAAGGAGGGAGGGAGTGGGGGAGGGAGGGGGGAGGGAGGGAGTAGGAGAGGGAAGGAGGGAGGGAGTGGGAGAGGGAGGGAGGAGGGAGGGAGGGAGTGGGTGAGGGAGGGGGGGGGAGGAGGGAGTGGGAGAGGGAGGGAGTGTGGGAGGGAGGGAGGAGGGAGGGAGGGAGTGGGGGAGGGAGGGAGTGGGGAAGGGAGGGGGTAGGGGAGGGAGGGAGTGGGGGAAGGAGGGGGTGGGAAGGAGGAAGTGGAGGAAGGAGGGAGGAGGGAGGGAGGGAGTGGGAGAGGAAGGGAGGAGTGTTGGAGGGAATTTGGGAGTGAGGAGGAGGGAGGGAGCCACGTGAGTACTCCCTTAGGAGGGGAGGAATGGAGGGAGAGGTAACACTACTTCTACTGCCTCCCTAGTCGGGTATCGCTGAGCCATTAGTACTGTCACAGGGTGGAGGAGGGTGGGTGGGACGGTGGGCGGTACTAGTATTACTACCTTGAGAAGCATTGATCACTTGCGCGTGGCACGACGAGACGTTGAAGGCGACAAGCCAGAGCGCCATGGCGAGAGCTGGGGAGAGCGCGGCGGGGAGCGCCGCCTTCAAGGCAGAAAGCTGGTGGCATCTCTGGTGCTTCATCGCAGGCAGCCGGGGGAAATAGCCGGTTGGCGCCGGACGCCTTGAGAATCCTTGACTCGTCAATCTCTAAAACCTCGAGCTGGCGGCTACTAGTAGTACTAGTAAGGTGAGACAACGGATCTGAGACACAGGGGGAGAGAAACACGTGTGAATGCAAGCATTCACAGCCCGACCTGCTGCTGGGAAGAAGGTGTGACAACGGATCTGAGACACAGGGGGAGAGAAACACGTGTGAATGCAAGCATTCACAGCCCGACCTGCTGCTGGGAAGAAGGTGAGACAACGGATCTGAGACACAGGGGGAGAGAAACAGGTGAGAGCGCGCTGGATCAGGGCGTTCATTCGCCATGCTCTCACGCCTTGGCGCGAAGCGTTAGAGCGCGCTGGATCCGGGCGTTCATCGCCATGCTCTCACGCCTTGGCGCCAAGCGTGTGGCATGATGCGGCCAACACGACCTTGAACCGAGTCGCCGTTTCCATACTGGATTTTGGTGGCAGTGCTTACCTTGGAAAGTGGGGTGAGAGTTGGATTCCCGTCTCAAACGCGCTACGATTAACAAGGAGCTAATCGATCAAGAGAAGGCAGAGGGGTCTGGCGAGCCATGGTGGCTGGAGGAGCCTCCCTATAAGGACGCCGAGGAAGAGTAGCCTACCAGGGAGAAATGCTGCACAGGCGCTGGCTGGAGGGGGGAAGCCGATGAAGAGTAGTTTACTGGAGAGAAGCTGCACATGCTCTTCACCACCGCTGGAATTGCTCGTAATAATCAGTACCTCCTCTCACGATCCTGGGTAAGGAGTCGGTTGGCACGAGGGACTGACAGCATGATTGTTGAAAGTGTGGGGGAACGGGATTGCCCCCCACGCGAAGACTCACCCTGACTCGGACTAAGGGCGCTTCACCTGTCGGTTCGAACGACACACTCGTTCGAACAGGCGAATTGTTACTCGTTTCGCCTATGTTCGTAGTGGTGATCGTGACGTCGCGAAGCACAATTTCGCCAATCTGAACAGAGCTGTCACCTCAAGCACGATTTTCATCATCCCGCACGTTCGAACACGTTTGTTCGAACAGGTTGGGATAGGTGACACACAATTCCGCACAAACGACTGATATGATTGGTCCACAGTCTTCCGGGTCGCCCATGAACGTTTACGACCCAAGCGAGGAAACACACAAGCGAGGGACCCAATGTTTGGCGACGTCGCTCTTTTGTGGGCGACGTCGCTGTGTTCGAAAAGACCGCGTGTGCGTGGGAGTGTTCTTTCTCGGAATGAGGGGTGAGGCAGATTGCCCGCGTCGCCACTCAACCCAAGTTCGCCCCCGGTTGGGTCCGAATTGTTGTGAGGGCGCCACTTGGCGGCGCCTCAAGCAATGACGAGAAAAACGAGGGGCTGAGCGAATGTTACGAACATTTGCGACCCGTAACGTGTGCATTGAAATCGAACTCGGCAAACTCCGAAATTGTGAATTCGGACCTAGCGGAAACTGGACGCAACCCCAAGTCCGAATTTCCGCCGAGTCGCACGAGATTCGGTGTTACATTTCAGCATTTGGTTTTAGCTATAAAATCCATAGAGTAATTCTAGAGAGTTCATTCCTTTGACGTATGTTGTACCCATCCTTATATGAACTATTGCTCTCTCATCTCTTGGGCGATTTCAATGATCTAAGTTGCTACAGAGTGGTCGGTTGCACTGCCCGATATCTATGCTACGACATGAAGCCATGGCCAGTTGGCATGCCATGTCGATCAATAGACACACATACCTACCTAACATCCCCCAGTGCTCGAAACCACCATGCGCATGTATGCTCGACGTTTACTCCATCCCCATAAAGTCTGCTACAACGCTGCAACACGACTTGGCGACCAAAAAAACAAGAGGCGACAAAGTCGACGTAGGGTTGCGAAGCGATTTCCATACATTTTATAAAATTTATAACTTTCAGCAACATGAAATTAAATGGAAGCATTTTAGTTCATGTTCTGAAAATGTGACACAAAGAATAGATCCTGAATCCTCTCGATTATCTCTTGACTTCGAACCAACTGCGCCAGAACTACTGCAAAGTTATGTCGCGTTAAATATGTTTGGAATGACATTTGCGACGAAATTGGTGGGTTTGTTTCTCCCTTTTCCTCTCTTTCTTCTCGCCAGAGAAGCTTGGTTTGTCAAACATTATATATGTTCTGCTTGTGTAGGCTACAGTGGGTTAGCCTATAGGGGGTACACAATTCTAGGGTTTCCTACTTGTACTCATTTCACTGCTAGTTCATTCATTCCTGTTCGCTTATTCTCACATGGTATAGAGCGGGTCCTTCTACGGACCGTTTTTTTTTTTGGCCCACCGAAGCGCCCCCCGAGGCGCGATTTTTTTTTTAGCGACCCCTCGGGTCGTCATTTTCCCTGCGGCCCCGCCGCTTTCACTGACGCGGCCCCGCCGCCCTCTCTGACGGGGCCCCGCCCCCGGCCCTTACGCGGCCCCGTCGCCGGCTCTCACGCGGCCCCGCAGCAGGCTCTGTCGCGGCCCCGCCCCGGCCTTTACGCGGCCCCGCCGCCTGCTCTCACGCGGCCCCGCCCCGGCTCCTTCGCGGCCCCGCCGCCTGCTCTCGCGCGGCCCTGCCCCGGCTTCTACGCGGCCCCGCCCCGGCTTCTACGCGGCCCCGCCCCGGCTCCTTCGCGGCCCGGTCGCCTCCTGACGGCCCCGCCGTCCCTTCGTGACGGCCCCGCCGTCCCCTCCTGACGGCTCCTGCCGTCCCCTTCTACCGGCCCCGCAACTGCACCTGCTGGCCCCGCCGCTGCACCTACCGGCCCCCACCACCCACCCCCCCTTTTCCCGTCGCCTGTCGAGGCGACCTGAGGGGGCCGCTTGCCAGCAGAGGGGTGGCAGGTGTGTGGCCTCCCCTGCTTCTCCTCCTCCTTCATCGCTCACCTGCAGCAGCCGAGCCGCCCCACTGCCGAGCCGCCCTGCACCCGAGCCGCCCAGCAGCCGAGCCGCCCTGCCGCCGAGCCGCCGGGTCGCTGAGCTGCTGAGCTGCAGTTGCTGCCGAGCCGCCCTGCCGCCGAGCCGCCGAGTCACCGAGCTGCTGAGCTGCAGTTGCTGCCGAGCCGCCTTGCCGCCGAGCCGCCCGAGTCGCCCGAGCCGCCGAGCCGCCGAGCTGCCGAGCCGCTGAGTCGCCGAGCCTACTCTTCCCACCACTGGTGAGCTCTTGCCCTGCTAGCACGCTCACGTCGCCTGCTTGCCTGCCTGCCTGCCTTTTGGCTTGCCTGGCTGCCTGCCTTCCTGCTGCTAGTCCTGCTCCTGCTTCTACTTGCGGAGCCAGATGCAGCCCCAGCGACGCCTGCGTGAGTCCCTCACGCCCCAGCAGCTGCGTGAGTGGTACGCTGGTTGGGGCTGTAGGGGTGGCGACACTACTCCTACTTCCACTCCTGCTGCTTCTACTCGTGGTGGCGGCCAGATGCAGCTCCCGCGACCCTCTCGCGTGTCTCTCACGCCTCGCCAGCTTCGTGAGTGGTACGCTCAGAGTGGAGGGTCTCTCAGTGCTGTTCGCTGCTCTTACGTGATTCGCACTGGTACTCGGACTGGTCAGCCTTGTGGGACAGGTAGTCATACACAGTCCCGCTGCTTCGCCCGTCTGAGCGACGCCTGGCGTACCGTGTTTGGCGACGAGGCTGAGCTTCCCGACTGGGAAGAGTTGCTTAGGCAGAGGGTAGATATATATGCTCTTGACTATGATGCTATTCTCACTGCCATGTATGCATTGCCTACTAGTGCTGACCGTGCCGGTCACCTGTGCGTCCCGCCTGACCCAGGTATAGGACCTGCTGCTCTAGCTACTGGTGAGGCTGCTGCTCTGGGTGCTAGTGAGTCTCCTGCTCCAGGTACAGGTGCGGCTGCTGCTCTAGGTGCTAGTGAGTCTGCTTCCTCAGGTGCGGGTGAGGCTGCGCTCTCAGGTACCGCGTTGGCTTCGGCCTCCCTCACCTTTACACTTGACTCTGGGGCTTCTCGCTCCTTCTTTCGGGACCGCACCACACTCACGCCGCTTGGTCGGCCGGTTGCTGTCTCCCTGGCTGACCCCTCTGGGGGTCCTGTCCTCGCTCACTTCTCCACTGTCCTCCCGTGTCCGGCTGCCCCCTCGGGCACCCTGTCTGGCCTGTACCTCCCCTCGTTCTTGACGAACTTGGTGAGTGGTGCAGACCTACAGGATGTGGGGGTTCACCAGTTCACTCCTGCGAGTCAGCGGGTGACCCACTGCACGGACGCACGCACAGGCCGGCACCTGGCCACGTTCTCGCGTCGGCCGGGGTCGAGCCTCTACACCCTGACCACTGAGTCTCCTCCTGTCCCCGCGTCCGGTCAGGTAGCAGCGTCGGGTCAGGTGTTTGCTGCTGCGTCCAGGTCTGGTCCTGAGTCTGCCCCCTGTTCGTGTCGCCTCCTGTCTCACGAGACTCTTCTGTGGCACCACCGTCTAGGCCACCCCTCCTTGCCCCGTCTTCGGGGCATGGCTTCCCGTGTCCTTGTCTCTGGTCTTCCCCAGTCTCTCCCTCCCCTTCCTTTGGGACCAGGACCTTCCTGTGTCCCCTGTGTCGAGGGGCGCCTCAGGGCTGCTCCTCACTCCTCCCAGTTTCCCCCGACAGAGGCTCCTCTGCAGACGCTTCACATGGACGTGTGGGGCCCGGCCCCCGTCCGTGGGCAGGGTCACGAGCGCTACTTCCTGTTGGTGGTTGACGACTACTCGCGTTACACCTCAGTCTTCCCCTTGCGCAGCAAGGGTGCTGTCACTGAGGTGCTGATCGACTGGATCCGCGAGGCTCGTCTCCAGCTCAGGAGGAGCTTCGGCTCGGACTTTCCTGTTCTGCGTCTGCACTCTGACCGAGGTGGGGAGTTCTCCTCTCGCCTTCTGCGAGACTACTGTCGTGCACAGGGGATCCGCCAGACCTTTACGCTTCCGGACTCTCCACAGCAAAATGGGATTGCTGAGCGCCGCATTGGCATGGTCATGGATGTCGCTCGTACGTCCATGATGCATGCGGCTGCCCCCCATTTTCTGTGGCCGTTTGCGGTTCGGTACGCGGCGCATCAGCTCAACCTTCACCCCAGGGTCTCTCGGCCCGCA